ACGAGACCTCATTAAAATTAGTCCTTTCTAAAAAAATTTCATATACGTTTAAAGATATTTTTTTTCATTTATTTTCATGTAAAAATTAACAAATTTGTACCAAAAGAATTTTAGAAAAGTTACCTAACCTTATTATAACAAGCGCAATTTACTTTACCGTCAGCCAACCAAATATGCTTTAAATAGGTTTACAATAATTTAATAATAAACTCCATGAAATCTGTTTTTTTTCTGTAGGTTCTTAATGGTTCTTTAAGATATTATTGCTTGCACAAATTTTCGCTTTCTTTATTCGGCAAGAAGAGCGTTGCTGTTTAAGCTGAAATCGGAACTTTTACTTATACGGTACGACATACATCTAATATATACATGATTGGCAAACCTGGGACATGTCACCAAAAAGCGGCATAAGATTTGCATTCAGGAAAACACAAAAGTGGTGCAAATCTGAAGCCGATCAGATGAGTCATTCTCCAGTTATTGCACTGATTCCAATGATTCAAAATTCAGTTTTTTTTTTTTACATCTTTCATCATCAAACATTCCTGAATACCAGGTTCTCTCTTGGTTCTAAGGCGCATCAGTCATTGAATTCTGAAGCTTTTACAAGAGGTAAACTGAAAACTTCTTAGATTTAACTAGAGAAAGAAATTCACAATATTTTCTACTTAAAAATCGTCTAATCTGCATATTTGATTTTACTCTCCGCTGTACTCGATTTTTTTCACTTTTTCTGAACGTTTGAAGGAATGCCACTCAAGATTTTGCAAATTATCCGAGCCATTCTAGAATGCTGGGAATAATTTATATAACTTTAGTAATGGTGCACATGAACATGCCAATTGTTCCAGGAATTTGGTCCTCGTTACCGTACACAAGTGTTGAATGATGCTTTCTCCAGTTTGGGATGAAATAAAATAAAAAGATGGTGGATAAAAATCAGGCAACCTATTTAAAGCACCTAAACCATACCATCGTGTCATTACGATTTCGTGAGTCAAGTTAAAGCACCCATTAGGGATACCTAATAATAACCTAATACAAATATTAATAAAGAATAGTTCATACAGGTCATGCACTGTCTAGTGTATACACAGACCTCCATTTTCTAACATGTCTGTGACTCACTAAATAGTAATAACACAACTGCAAACAAATCATGGAATGGGAGCGACATGAACCCATGGCACGAGTGCTATAACTCACAGGCCAGTGAATGGTTAAACCACTGACCTGTGAGATTTAGGACTCACGTGTCATGGGTTTAAACCTCAGTTGTTTCTTGATTTACTTATGTGACATATGAAACTAAACATATCAAATGTGTGACATATAGGTTGGAAAGCAGAAGTAACTGCAGCATTTGCTCTTAATATATATACAATCAATAAGTATCAAGTGTGTAAGAGTTAAGCTGGAAAACATTTGCAAATGATGCATATATAATCTGTACACACCAAGCATAAGATGTAAGCAAGAAAGCAGGAGCAGTGATAGCAACTTGCAGCCATCGCCAGTCCCTGATGAAGATAGCCAACACTCCAGTCATCGCTTCACCAAGTGCATATGATATCTGAATATTGATTCCACAAAATGTGCGCCATTTAACACCAATAAACTCCACAACTGTAAAAAAATGGGAATAAAAAAAATAATTACAAGTATTATTGAGCATTTCTGGCTTGCAAAATTTTCCAATGAAACATTTTCTAATGATTATGTGATCTTTTGCATTAATATTTAATAAGGAAACAAAAGGTGTTTACATCTTCTAAAGAGTATCGCTGTTCTTTTGCAGATGACACCCGAATTTGCATGACAGTGTCCTCCATTGAAGACATTGCAAGACTCCAGGCGGACATCAACCAAATTTTTAAATGGGCTGCAGAAAACAATATGAAGTTCAATGCTGAGAAATTTCAATCACTCCTATATGGAAACCTTGAGGAAATTAAAACTTCATCGTAGTATAACACAAATTCCAACCACACAATAGAGCGATCAACTGGCGTCAAAGACCTGGGGGTGATCATGTCAGAGGATCTCACCTTCAAGGACCATAACATTGTATCAATCACATTTGTTGGAAAAATGACCGGATGGATAATGAGAACCTTCAAAACTAGGGATGCCAAGTTCATGATGACACTCTTCAGGTCACTTGTTCTATCTAGGCTGGAATATTGCTGCACACTAACAGCATTTTTCAAGGTAGGTGAAATTGCTGACCTAGAAAATGTACAGAGAACCTTCACGGCGCGCATAACGGAGATAAAACACCTCAGTTACTAGGAATGCTTGAAGTTCTTCAACCTGTACTCCCTAGAACGCAGGCGAGAAAGATACATGATTATATACACTTGGAAAAATCCTAGAAGGATTAGTACCAAACTTGCACACGAAAATCACTCCCTACGAAATCAAAAGACTCGGCAGACGATGCAACATCCCCCCCAATGAAAAGCAGGGGTACCACTAGAACGTTAAAAAACAACATAAGTGTCAAGGGACCAAGACCGTTCAATTGCCTCCCAGCATACATAAGGGGGATTATCAATAGACCCCTGGCTGTCTTCAAGCAGGCACTGGACAGGCACCTAAAATCGGTACCTGCCCAGCCGGCCTGTGGTTCGTACGTTGGATTACTTGCGGCCAGCAGTAGCAGCCTCGTTGGTCAAGCTCTGATCCACCATGAGGCCTGGTCACAGACCGGGCGGCTGGGACGTTGACCCCTGGAACTCTCTCCAGATATACTCCAGGTATTTGTTAAAATATTTAATGGATGATAGTATACAGGTGATATTCAGCATTAATTACCCCAAGTTTAGTCGAGTAGTTTTAAATCCCAATGAATTAATTATTAACTTTCATTTATCTTGTGTAAGAAACAAAATACAGCGGACCCCCGGTTAACGATATTTTTTCACTCCAGAAGTATGTTCAGGTGCCAGTACTGACCGAATTTGTTCCCATAAGAAATATTGTGAAGTAGATTAGTCCATTTCAGACCCCCAAACATACACGTACAAATGCACTTACATAAATACACTTACATAATTGGTCGCATTCGGAGGTAATCGTTATGCGGGGGTCCACTGTATATTGTTCATATAGTGTTTATAATATATCACATTCATCACATTCATCACATTCATCACATTCATCACATTCATCACAGACTACACTTATCTACACTGAAGAAGCAAATGACTTAAAATGTAAAGTGATATGACCGAATATACTGTATAAGGGTGTCTTTCTTTAATTACAGGTAAATAAATTGCTTAATTCAGTGTTACATATAACACTGCATTCAACACATATTATATCAGAAATGTTTACGTTGTAATAAAGAACACAACAAGAATTTAGTCACAATATACAACATGACAAATTTTTGCAGAGATCATAAACAATGATCTAATTTGTGCCTAGACAAGTTCATGAATATAAGAACATAAGCAAGGACGAACACTGCAGCAGGCCTGTTGGCCCATACTAGGCAGGTCCTTCACAAATCCATCCCACTAACAATATTTGCCCAACCCAATATTCAACACTACCCAAGCAATAAGCTTTGATAAATATATTTACTCATGTGCAATTCCCACTCAGATCCAACCCATCTCATTCATGTATTAATCCAACCTATATTTTAAACTACCAAAGGTTTTTGCTTCAGTAACCTTACTAGGCAGACTGTTCTACTCATCAACTACCCAGTTTCCTAACTAATACTTTCTTTTATCCTTTCTAAAGCTAAACTTATCTAATTTGGATCCATTATTGCGAGTTCTCTCATGAAGAGATATCCTCAAGACCTTATTTATATCCCCATTGTTAATACCAATCTTCCACTTATACACTTCGATCATGTCTTCCCTCATTCTTCGACTTACAAGTAAATGTAATTTAAGGGACTTCAGTCTTGTCTAAGGCCAACTTTTACTTGGGAATAATCTCCGCCACGCAGTTATATCTTCGATATTTTCCTTGAAGCACTATCCTTCCAGTGAATATACCCAGTCAACCATAAATCAATTCCCAGCCTCAAGGTGCCTTCCAGATAGAATATTGGATGTTGATAACTATGATGAGAACTTTCTGCAATAAGTATCCCAAATACTGGGAAGAATGGATACTTCCATCGTTTTATGGAGGCCGAGAGGTTATAACCTATTTTAAAATGTGTATAGCCCCTCCTTGTGAGAACCGATGTCGGCTTTCTATGGAGCATAGGTGGATAAAGCCATTTGTCTTCTCTCTACCTCCCCCACTGTTATCAAGAAGTTTGTTCTGTATTATCTGACCTCACATAGACTGTACTGCACATAACATCAGATGAAACAGCAGTATGATAGGACACCAGAACCTTGGTACTTTACTCCAGATGATTTTGTTATTGCACAGTGAGTAATTCATAGCCGCACTTTATATATTAGTTATTAAGAGGAAAGTTATTATTGGAATTGTGAGGTTTTTCTCTGCAAAAAATAAGATCTGCCTACACCTTCCATATTGATTATCAAATGGTATACAATACCGACAGGTTGGTAGATAAGACACATAGGCAACATTTAGGCAACTTTATTCCGAAACGTTTCGCCTACACAGTAGGCTTCTTCAGTCGAGTACAGAAAGTAGGGGGAGCAGTAGAGATGTGAAGACGATGCAATCAGTCCATCACCCTTGAAGTCGCAGATTTGAGGTTGTAAGTCCCTCAGCCTGGAGAAGTTCAGTTCCATAGTCTGGAACTAACTGAAGATCAAGTGACAGTGTTGAGACTTAAATACTATCTTCAGTTAGTTCCAGACTTTGGAACTGAACTTCTCCAGGCTGAGGGACTTACAACCTCAAATCTACGACTTCAAGGGTGATGGACTGATTACATCGTCTTCACATCTCTACTGCTCCCGCCTACTTTCTGTACTCGACTGAAGAAGCCTACTGTGTAGGCGAAACGTTTCGGAATAAAGTTGCCTAAATGTTGCCTATGTGTCTTATCTACCAACCTTCCATATTAAACACCTAAAGTTTTATCTTCGTTCTGCTTAACTTCCAACATCAGGTAATTTGAAGGAACACTGGAACCATTTGTGATATACGATTTCAGCTACAAAATGGGAAGCATAGATCTTGTGCAACTCTTCCCCCATTTTATCCTGATTCCACCCGATGAGTTGAGGTGAAGTTCAAAATCTTTCATATGCTGAGCAACTTGCCAGAGAAGGGAGCCTAATAATAATATTAATCTATATTTCTACAAATACATACTATATAGAAAGCAGCTTGTTATGCAGATTATTTCGAGGAAATTAGGTAAAATTTTGTCTCAGGATGAGACCAACACCAGCCGGCTAACATCCAGGTACCTCTTTACTGCTGTGTGATCAGGGACACCAGGTATCTTAAGGAAACATGCCCCAATGTTTCCACTCGTACTGGGGATCGAACCACGGATCTCTTCTTTGATGATGTGCCGAAGTATGAATTTGGAACCTTACAAACAGGAAGCTTTTTGAGAGAATTTGAGTTCAAATAATGGAAACGGCGGGGCTTGAATCCATGACAAGTGAGTAGTTAAACTCGCACGCCATTGCATTAACCATTCTTCCAGTTGGCTCCAATAAGATTAATTCTGCTAGGTATATTTTTATACACCAAAGGGAGGGTAATATAAACACATAAGGAGTACAGTGTGATCCTTTATTGACAACGTGTCGCCCACACAGTGAGCTTTATCAAGTCACAAACAGATCTGTTTGTGACTTGATAAAGCTCACTGTGTGGGCGACACGTTGTCAATAAAGGGTCACATTGTACTCCTTATGTGTTTATATTTCATTGTGTTGGTATTTTATACCATTTATTTCCAAAAGGAGGGTAGCATGGGCCCCAGTGTGACCATAAATGCAGGTTTTAACAGGCGAATCACCAGCATGGTTAGATATGGTGTAGATATGGCCTGCACACTTTGCTGCCGTAATGTGATAACCATTTAGGAACAAGCAAAAAGACAACAGAAAATAAATTAATATATTTCCTTCACCAAAAAATAAGCTAGTATATACAATATATATAGCCTATGTACAGTATTTAGTAATATACAGTGAGGCAAAGGTAAGCATAAGAAATGGTAATCAATGAGGCAAGTGCAAGTGCAAGACGCGATTAAACTGTGGCGACCAGAAGGGAAGGCAAGTCTGCCAAAAGTTGTTTATGAGTGAACGAATTTACTTCAGAGCTTCGGCGAACTTCCATGTGACTGGATGGTTGAACTAAGGTACTGGTATAACGACAGGGCACCTGATCGTTAAACTCTTAGCACCTGGTTTGCTGTTCGGGAGGCATGCCAATGTGGGTGTGTGATATATACCAAATTAAATGTAACAAACTTTTAGCATCCCACACAGAAAAAGGCCATTCAAATCCGAGACTGCGTCCCTTCACAGCATCCACTTTTTCCAACACAACTCTATTCCTTAAACTACCAATGATGTAAATTTATACCAACAGTAAAACAGTCAATGATGTAAATTTGTACCTAAATTCTAGCTCCTCCAAAATTGCCACGATCGGTCGGTTAAATCCTATATCAGAAAAAACGTGTCTGTGCGGTGGATGGGTGCAGTATAGATAAATCCTGACGTGCGTGAAGCTTTTTTATGGAGCTCTTGAAAGCCATTAATTCTGAGGACAGTCATGAGGACACTGGAAACGTCCAGAAAAACTAATCAGATGCTGATGTCCACAGTCCTTCCACTTCTGGGTCTCACAACCAAAAATGAACAACAAAATGACAAAGAAAAATTAATATATTTCTTAAAATAGTCAGTATTTTGCCTATACATATTTATAAACAGTGAGGAAAGAAAGAAAAGAATAGGAAACATTGGGCAGTGCAGTGAGACCGATTAAATGTTGGCTGACCAGAAGGGAACGGAAGTTGCCAAAGTGATGATACAAATGGTGGCGAACGTTCATGTGTTGGTAACAAGCCTACTGGTTACCAGGCACTGTAACAATCTTGCACTGGTTGCTGGTGGAGAGCATGCAATGTGGTGTGTGAATACTACAGTTAATCACTTTTAGATTCGCCCAGAGATTCAATCGGATGCGCTTAAGCATCCATTTTTCCAACAAACCTATCCTTAAACTACCAATATTAATTTACCAACAGTTTAGTCAGATGATGTACTAGATTCTAGAAGCTCCTCCAAAACACGACGGTCGTTATCCTATACACATAACAATGTGGCGTGTGTGCAGTATAGTAAATGACGTGGTGAAGTTTTATGAGCTCGAAGCCATAATTTGAGACATCTACACTAAACCAATATCAGTATGTACTGTGGCACAGTCTCCATGGTCTCACAACAAATCACAGACAATGCAAAGGATAAAATGTCGTTTGGCCAATAACAGGGAGAAGCGTAGTGATTAGGATTGTGTCGATAACGATTATGTTTCACATACTGAACAATGTGCAGTGATGTACAAGGTGGAGAAGCGTGTCATGTGTTGCAACGAGCCTACAGTTACCATCACTTAACAATGTGCAGAGATGTACTAGGTGGAGAAGCATGTCATGTGTGACAACGAACCTACAGTTACCATCACTTAACAGTTTGCAGTGATGTACTAGGTGGAGAAGTTTGCCATGTGCCACAACGAACCTACAGTTACCATCACTTAACAATGTGCAGTGATGTACTAGGTGAAGAAGCGTGTCATGTGTCACAACGAACCTACAGTTACCATCACTTAACAGTCATGGTGGATGTGACATAAGGTTGAGCAGGAGGTCACGATGACCATTGCAACACCTACCATCCCAAACACCACCAGCTGCACCACAAGCACCACCAGCTGTGCCACAAGCACCACCAGCTGCACCACAAGCACCACCAGCTGCACCACAAGCACCACCAGCTGTGCCACAAGCACCACCAGCTGCCCACACCAGCTGCACAAATGTACACCAGACTGCACCACAAGCTTAACGTTTTCTTTGATGCAGCTTACTTTTTGCCAAACAAATACATTTTACATGCTTCGAAAAACAAACCCAGATGTTTCAATACGATCACACCTGCATGAATGTTTCAACACGATCACACCTGCATGAATGTTTCAACACGATTACACCTGCATGAATGTTTCAACACGATTACACCTGCATGAATGTTTCAACACGATCACACCTGCATGAATGTTTCAACACAATTACACCTGCATGAATGTTTCAACACAATTACACCTGCATGAATGTTTCAACACGATCACACCTGCATGAATGTTTCAACACGATCACACCTGCATGAATGTTTCAACACGATCACACCTGCATGAATGTTTCAACACAATTACACCTGCATGAATGTCTCAACACGATCACACCTGCATGAATGTCTCAACACGATCACACCTGCATGAATGCAACACATCCACTGATGATGTCACAAATTATCTGAATTTTCACCATTATACACACTGCATAATGTTTAAACAATTACCTCATGAATGACAGACAACATGCATAAGTTTCAAACTAATTACCTGTATGATTTACGTACCTGTGATATGTTACAAACAATTACCTGCAGAATGATAGATTCACCTGCAGTAATTTCAATATTTGATCACAACTGCATGATGTTTCTAACACTAATATGTGTTTAACACAATAACAGTTTAACGATCACGCATAATTTTCAACATTACATCATGTATATAACCAGTAATGATGAAATTTCAACATTAGTATCAATTGTTAAATCACACTGCATGATGAGGACACCCCTGTTGAGATTGTATTGATTTTACCAGGATCAATCAAGCGAATAAATTAAAAATTACTTATTAATACCAACGTGAATTCAGTTTCGTCGAAACGTATTTGTTGATTGTATTTTCATAATCTACAAACAACTGCAAAATTTCTGTTCACACAATCGTTGAGCAACTGATTTCTGAATGCTAATGTTTGGTTACGAGTTCAATACAGTTGGACCACTATTTTATACATACATAACCATAAATAAATTTCTTTACTTACAATTATTTATCATGTGTGACATTGAGTGTACATGATATCAGACACACTGAAAAATCGGAAAATACTTGAAATCTCACGTGAATTTTCAAGAACAATTGGACGTAATTGTAAGGCAACTTTTATCATAATAACACACAAGACTCTTATGTGTCAATACTTAAACATGTGAGTAGTTATGAGTATAATGGGACCACTTTCGTTATTATCAAATTACATAAAGAAGTATGTGAGTAATAATAGTGAGATACTCTCTTGTATACTCAAACATAACATAAATAATGTTATGTTGATGAATAATATGGAGACCTACTTACCTCTTACTCAACAAACTAAATAATGTTCATGATAGTAATAATAGTAGATTACTCTCTCGTTATTACATCCAGTACCATAACAAAAATAAATTGCTTTTACTTGACAGCGATTAGTTATTAATGCTAAACAATAGCACTCATTAAAATCAAGTAATACTAGTTCTCATGTGGAATATGTATAATGAACATATTTGGACTAAGTCCAAAGCAATTACTAATGAAGAAAGCACGCAGTTCAGTAATATTAAAAATATGTGAGTTTAAAAAAAATCAGAGAATGGGACCATTTCGTTAGTTGTGTAAGTTAATAAAGAAGGGTGAAAATTAGTAGAAAATTAGATAAAGTACATAAATAACAGATGCACTTACTCAAGATGAATGAGATTATATGGAGACCATTACCTCCAACACCGGTGAAGAAACTCATCAACAGGAATACATAGTAGTTACTAGACACTGCGCTTATAACCCCACCAGTACCAAGTAGAAGCACAGAAGTCAAGATTGCCTTTTTTCTTCCGAAGCGATCAGCTAAATCACCAATAACAATGGCTCCCACTAACATTCCAGTCATGTACATTGAACCAGCAAATGGACGAAGCCAAGCTTTGTCACAGGTTAAGTCAAACTGTGGATATAATAAACATCAAAGCATTAATTCAAAACAATATAATAATGTTTATACCAGGTTCAAAGAAAAATTCATTTTCAGAGTTCCAGTGCTAGCCAGCTAGCAAATACAAGGTACTAAGGTACGGAGAAGAGAGCATAAATGCAAATATTTAGAAAATCTTTTTGTAATTGATATTAATAGTAATAATAATAATAATAATAACAATAATAATAATAATAATAATAATAATAATAATAATAATAATAAGAACCTTTATTTTTAATAGAACATGATATAACTATTTCAGATCTATGTAGCTGTCATCAGTGACACATTTCATAAAAACCTCGTGGATATGCAGAGCATTTCTGGCAACTTAGGTTAATCAGATCCCCCAAGATGCCTCCTGCAATAGTTGACTAACACCCTGGTACCTACTTACTACTAGGTGAACATGTGCTACTGGTGTAACATGACTAACGTCCAGGTACCTACTTACCACTAGGGGAACAGGAACAGCAGGTACAAAGTGACTAACACACAAATATATATTTACTGCTAGGTGAACAGGTGCAACAGGTGTAAGGAAACATTCCCAACACTTCAGTGGTAGCACCTTGGTACCAGGACTAAGTACACTGACCAAGGTACCAGGGCTAAGTACACTGACCAAAGTACCAGGACTAAGTACACTGACCAAGGTACCAGGACTAACTACAGTGACTAAGGTACCAGACTAAGTACAGTGACCAAGGTACCAGGACTAAGCACAGTGACCAAGGTACCAGGACTAAGTACAATGCCCAAGGTACCAGGACTAAGTACAGTGCCCAAGGTACCAGGACTAAGTACAGTGACCATGGTACCAGGACTAAGAACAGTGCCCAAGGTACCAGGACTAAGTACAGTGACCAAGGTACCAGGACTAAGTACACTGACCAAGGTACCAGGACTAACTACAGTGACTAAGGTACCAGCACTAAGTACACTGACCAAGGTACCAGGACTAAGTACAGTGCCCAAGGTACCAGGACTAAGTACAGTGCCCAAGGTACCAGGACTAAGTACAGTGACCACCAGGACTAAGTACAGTGCCCAAGGTACCAGGACTAAGTACAGTGCCCAAGGTACCAGGACTAAGTACAGTGACCACCAGGACTAAGTACAGTGCCCAAGGTACCAGGACTAAGTACAGTGACCAAGGTACCAGGACTAAGTACACTGACCAAGGTACCAGGACTAAGTACACTGACCAAGGTACCAGGACTAAGTACACTGACCAAGGTACCAGGACTAAGTGCAGTGACCAAGGTACCAGGACTAAGTGCAGTGACCAAGGTCCCAGGATTAAGTGCAGTGACCAAGGTACCAGGACTAAGTACATTGACCAAGATACCAGGACTAAGTACAGTGACAAAGGTCCCAGGACTAAGTGCAGTAACCAAGGTACCAGGACTAAGTGCAGTGACCAAGGTCCCAGGACTAAGTGCAGTGACCAAGGTCCCAGGACTAACTGCAGTGACCAAGGTACCAGAAATAAGCGCAGTGACCAAGGTCCCAGGACTAAGTGCAGTAACAAAGGTCCCAGGACTAAGTGCAGTGACGAAGGTCCCAGGACTAAATGCAATTACCAAGGTAACAGGACTAAGTGCAGTGACCAAGGTCTCAGGACTAAATGCAGTGACCAAGGTCCCAGAACTAAGTACAGTGACCAAGGTCCCAGGACGAAGTGCAGCGACCAAGATCCTAGGACTAAGTGCATTGACCAAGGTCCCAGGACTAAGTGCAGTGAGCAAGGTTCCAGAACTAAGTGCAGTGACCAAGGTCCCAGGACTAAGTGCAGTGACCAAGGTAACAGGACTAAGTGCAGTGACAAAGGTACCAGGACTAAGTGCAGTGACCAAGGTCCCAGGACGAAGTGGAGTGACCAAGGTCCCAGGACTAAGTGGAGTGACCAAGGTCGAAGTAGTAATTGTAGTGACCTAGGTCCCAGGATTAAGTGGAGTGACCAAAGTCCCAGGAGTAAGTGGAGTGACCAAGGTCCCAGGACTAATTGGAGTGACCAAGGTCCCAGGACTAAGAGGGGTGACCAAGGTCCCAGGACTAAGAGGGGTGACCAAGGTCCCAGGACTAAGTGGAGTGGCCAAGGTCCCAGGACTAAGTGCAGTGACCAAGGTTCTTCTAAGTGCACTGACCAAGGTCCCAGGATACACAAATAACCCGCACATAAAAGAGAGAAGCTTACGACGACGTTTCGGTCCGACTTGGACCATTGACAAAGTCACACTAACATCTTGTCGGTATTATATACAATTCATGTTCTACTACTACAACTACTACTACTACTACACTACTACACACACTACTACTACTACTACTACACTACTACCTCCACCTCTTCCTGCCTATATATAGCCGTCCTGCTCCACCTCTGTTAGTGTGACTTTGTCAATGGTCCAAGTTAGACCGAAACGTCGTCGTAAGCTTCTCTCTTTTATGTGCGGGTTATTTGTGTATCGTTCCAGTCAGGGTATTGTGCCTTTTTGTTATTTATTCAAGGTCCCAGGACTAAGTGAAGTGACTAAGGTCCCAATAATAAGTGAAGTGACCTAGGTCCCAGGACTAAGTGCAGTGACCAAGGCCCTACTAAGTGCACTGACCAAGGTCCCAGGGCTAAGTGCACTGACCAAGGTCCCAGGACTAAGTGCAGTGACCAAAGTCGTAGGACTAAGTGCGGTGACCAAGGTCCCAGGACTAACTGGGGTGACCAAGGTCCTAAGACTACGTGGGGTGACCTAGGTCCCAGGAATAAGTGCAGTGACAAAGGTCCCAGGACTAAGTTCAGTGACCAAGGTCCCAGGACTAAGTGCAGTGACCAAGGTCCCAAGACTAAGTGCAGTGGCCAAGGTCCCAGGGCTAACTGCAGTAACCAAGGTCCCAGGACTAAGTGCAGTGACCAAGTCCCAGTACTAAGTGGGGTGACCAAGGTCCCTGGACTAATTGGAGTGACAAAGGTCCCAGGACTATGTGTGGTGACCAAGGTCCCAGGACTAAGTTGGGTGACCAAGGTCCCAGGACTAAGTGGGGTGACCAAGGTCCCAGGAGTAAGTGGGGTGACGAAGGTCCCAGGATTAAGTGGGGTGACGAAGGTCCCAGGACTAAGTGCAGTGACCAAGGTCCCGGAGTAAGTTGGGTGACCAAGGTCACAAGACTAAGTGGGGTGACCAAGGTCCCAGACTAAGTGGGGTGACCAAGGTCCCAGGACTAAATGGGGTGACCAAGGTCCCAGGACTAAGTGGGGTGACCAAGGTCCCAGGACTAAGTGGGTGACCAAGGTCCCAGGACTAAGTGGGGTGACCAAGGTCCCAGGACTATGTGGCAGTGTCCAAAGGTCCCAGGACTAAGTGCAGTGACCAAGGTCCAGGCTAAGTGGGTGACCAAGGTCCAGGACTAAATGGGGTGACCAATGTCCCAGGACTAAGTGGGGTGACCAAGGTCCCAGGACTAATTGCAGTGACCCAGGTCCCAGGACTAAGTGCAGTGACCCAGGTCCCAGGACTAAGTTGGGTGACCAAGGTCACAGGACAAAGTGGGATGACCAAGGTCCCAGGACTAAGTGGTGACCAAGGTCCCAGGACTAAGTGGTGTGACCAAGGTCCCAGGACTAAGTTGGGTGACCAAGGTCCCAGGACTAAGTGGGGTGACCAAGGTCCCAGGACAAAGTGGGGTGACCAAGGTCCCAGGACTAAATGGGGTGACCAAGGTCCCAGGACTAAGTGGGGTGACCAAGGTCCCAGGACTAAGTGGGGTGACCAAGGTCCCTGGACTAAATGGGGTGTCCAAGGTCCTAGGACTAAGTGGGGTAACCAAGGTCCCAGGGCAAAGTGGGGTGACCAAGGTCCCAGGACTAAGTTGGGTGACCAAGGTCCCAGGACTAAGTGGGGTGACCAAGGTCCCAGGACTAATTGCAGTGACCAAGGTCCCAGGTCTAAGTGCAGTGACCAAGGTCCCAGGTCTAAGTGCAGTGACCAAGGTCCCAGGTCTAAGTGCAGTGACCAAGGTCCCAGGTCTAAGTGCAGTGACCAAGGTCCCAGGTCTAAGTGCAGTGACCAAGGTCCCAGGTCTCAGTGCAGTGACCAAGGTACCAGGTCTAAGTTCAGTGACCAAGGTCCCAGGTCTAAGTGCAGTGACCAAGGTACCAGGTCTAAGTGCAGTGACCAAGGTCCCAGTCTAAGTGCAGTGACCAAGGTCCCAGGTCTAAGTGCAGTGACCAAGGTCCCAGGTCTAAGTGCAGTGACCAAGGTCCCAGGTCTAAGTGCAGTGACCAAGGTCCCAGGACTAAGTACAGTGACCAAGGTCCCAGGACTAAGTGGGGTGAGAGAAACAAGTGGTATGCCACCACACATTGGTTCCCTCCCACATACCCTACATGGGGGCGGGTGGGGTCGGCCTCACAGTTTGCATATAGCATGAAGAAATACTAGAAGGTAGTTAATAGCCAGCATCAAGCTTCTAACCACTGGGAACAGGTCATGTGATTCAAAAAGTTACAAAATTGGATCCTTACATACCTCATTTACAAATTTGTAAACTCCAGGTAAACCTTCCAGAACAATAAGGAAATACTCGCAGTGTCAGTTAATAAACATGTGTGATTTTTTTCCTATTTAGGTTTTCTCAAAATAACTAGGTTATTCATAATTTTGGTGCCATTCTAATCAATATTATCCGATAATTTCATTATTATCATCATCATAACTAGGCTATTATTAATTTTAATGTCATTCCTATAATTATTATCACTATCATCTGCTAATATCATTATTATCATCATTATATTACCAAAAACCTGATTCAAAGCAACCCTGTCATTAATATCCACAAATATCATTATTATCATCATCATAACTTGGCTATTCTTAATTTTAATGCTATTCCTGTCATTATTATCACCTATCATCAGCAAATATCATTATTGTTATCATCATTATAATATTACCAACAACCTGATTCAT